TTTTTTTTTTGCCAAAAATCATGTCTCTAGAAAATCGTTAAAAAAATTTGTTTGAAGCTATATCAAACTACTTTCTTCGGCAAAGTTGTTGCCCAAAACAATACCTTTCCAACGGTATATCATATTCTTCGATATTTTTATATTTGAAATTTTTTTGGCCAAAAAACAAAACTATGCCCACTTTACACGGTCTTCCCTTAATTGTTGTTAAGATTTCATATTTCATACATCTAGACATTTTTGTGAAAATTCAAATTTTGGTACATTTGGCCGATTTTTGGTGGAATAGCCATCCAAAACGGTCGATATTTTATTCAATTTTGTTTGGCTAGTCACAGAGCATATTTACAGAGTCATTGGAGTACATTTTGGCCCATAAAATACTTCAAATGTTAAAAGTAACATTTTTTGTCATTTTTGGCCATATTCGCACTATCAAAGGCCATATCGTGAAGACAAGAATTTTTAGGGATATAAGCTATGCGGCATTTTATAGCTTGGACTTGGGCCTAAAAATCGGTGAAATTTTCAAGTGACCATGAAATGCTAGTTTTTGAGCTAATGACCATTATGTGTCCGGCCAAACGGTAACTTTTTGGTTTTTGGCCAATTTGGCCACTCCAACTTGAAATTTTTGGACCGCAAATGACTCCATTCGATAGCTCACTTCAAGACCTTTCCAATGATATGCATATGTCTGGGGGTGTAAAGTCATGGCGCTTCGGTGACCATAGGGAAAAAAGTCGAAAAGTGACTTTTAGAGGCCGGCCATGGCCATATCGAAAAGTGCCGGAACAAAAAAGTCTTAGTTTTTTGTGTACTTTAATCACAGAAAGTTTATAAAAGATCAAAAACAACTACGCAAAATTGCGCACAGACAGATATACCAAATAACTTTTATAGGAAAATCATAAGAAATTTTCAAAATGCGGAATTTTTCGAAAAGATTGATCGATTTTGACGGTTAGGGGGTCGTTGGAAAGGTATTGAGCTCTAGAATTCGATTGACGATGTTTCAGGGGTCGACGACCTCATTTAGTGCCATATAGATATCTATAGCCATAAAACTGAATTTTGACCCTTTTCTTGAAAGGACCATATTTTGAAGACAGGTGGACCGTTTTCAAACTTTGATATTTTTTCTTGATCTATAGCCCAAGGGCGTTCCAACCATACACCAATCGCGGCTAAAGGCCTTCCAGGCTAGAATTTGGAAATTACGTGTATATATAGCGAGTTCGACTTTTCAACACACTAATGTGGTTTCGTCACTCGCGCGAACTGCCGTCCGCTGTGATAACTATCTTACTAGTCTGATGTTATTTGTCCCAACTGTACATTTGCTTATTCATTTTTGATCAGTATTGTATATTTGATTTTCAGCCCCAAAGCCATGTGGGGGTTGAATTTTCAAAATCGTGATGGGGATGAGCACTAAATCCAAAAGTCGTTCAGAAAATGTGTGCCACTCAATAGCGGTGAAATTGGAATTAGTGCTCTCTTCGCAATCTTAAAAACGAAATTTCTTTTTAGGGGTTGAAATGGAAAAATAAAAAATAAAAGAAATTGTTATAACTAACAGAATTTTTTACAAAACTATTGAAAAAATGGTCTTAATCGCGGGCTCAAATTGGGCACAAATTTTTGACATCATTTGTCAAATCATTTTTTATCGATTTGGGGTAGTTAATTTTTTAACCCCAAATAAAATAAATTGAAGTAACTTTTATAGGGTGAAATGAAAATACTGACCAAAGGTACCAATCGAGAGCACAAATTGGGCACACATTTTTGGGCACACATTTCAAAAAGGGATGAATTTTTCAACCCCTGAAAAAGTCGATGTCCAGAAACCCTTCTTGATAGGGGATGACGGGAAAATATGTCCAATCTTGGGCACAAAGTTTTGGCATCATTAGATTTTTCTTTTTCGCCCCCAATCAAAATTTTGAAAAAACTGCCCCTTACCCCCGGAAAACCACATGCCATATTCATATCAACCCTTCGGGCACACATTTTTTTTCGACGGCACCAAATGGTACAAATTGGGCCCATTTTTTAAAATTCAATTCCAAAAAATTCTGTCGTAGATGTCCCCCTGGTGAAATACCACCAAAAAAAGGTCTTCACTTTTCGAATCAAAAACCCTAGCAAATTCGAATAATTTTCGCGAAAATTTCTCATCCAAATCACCCCTCTACCCCCGCCCCTCCGCACACTACTGGCTTAAATGTATAGGTACATATTGTTACTGTGTTCACTTGTTTATGTTTGAAGTGATATTGAAAAAACAACAAAAATTCGTGATTGAATTGCTGCTTCACGTAAAAACTTGGTTATCATCATTAATTTAACCGATTTATTGATTTTACAATTAAATATTAATTTGATTACTTTATTTTTGTACTTGTATGCAAAAAGAGTGATTAAAATCGGTGTAATATTAATTGATTTCAAATATAAAGACGGAGCTCGCCGAAACGTGTGTTCACTCGTCAACTCTTTCTCTTTTTTTCCTGGTAATATTATATATTAGACCTTGGTAATATTATATAAACCCGGGGTGCTCTTGGCATTTCGAGTCAGTCTGATGTCAATACACTAAGTCGTAACACACTTACGGATACTGTAGAGACTAGGAAAAGATATATTGTGAAATAGAATTTAAGAGTTTGAATAAAGACTTGGAAAATTTGTTCAACAGTAAATATCGTATTTTTCTTGAAACAAAAGTAATAAATTCTTGAAATCTCTTAGAAATATATGGACAATATCCCAAATTGCCTACAAAATACAAAAAATATTAATTACAATATTTATTGCAATTTGTTTAAATGTTTAACTTTTTCTAATAAGTGTTAAAGCTTGTTAGTGTCGCCATCTATTCGTAATACATACATATCATTTTCCGTGACATCCTTTGGTGTGGTTTACTCCCATTGTGTGTTATTTTGAATGAATAGATAAATATTGTTTTGAGTAAGAACGTATAAATGAAATTTATATTTTTATCAATATAAAATGAAAACTTATATGAAAAAGTATTTCACAAAGAATTCAATTTAATCATTCTGTGGCAATAATAATTGGTGTTAGGCAACATATTCGATGTTTGAAAAAAAAAATTCAATTTATCCATTGTATGATGAAATATGAGCACATTATGATGAAATCGGAATGAGTATACATTGAACAGTTTTTCTCATTGTAATCATCAGTCAAAAGCCCCTTGGTGTGCACTCCACTTTTGCGAGTGGTCAAAAAAGTCGTATATTTTTTAAGTAAGTAAAAGAAAGTTTTTCTCTACATTTCGTTATGTATTGATTTAAAAATGAATTCTAATAATGGAAATTATTTAATACAAAATATACTTTTCGCACGGAAGAAAACGAAAAGTCAATATAACTTTGAAATTGTAAAATTTGATAATTTTTTTTATAAATAATTGAATAATTTGAAAGTTAAAATCGATGTGAACTCTTTTGTTTACTCTTAACAGTTCGAAATTATCTGAATCAATGAAAAAGTGTAATTTTGTTAGTGTACAAAATGTTTTCGCAAGAAAATCGCAAATTTCACTGTCCGCATTTTGTGTTACCAACTACGTAATAATATTTTTACATTTTCAATCCGAGGTCGACGAAAATTTTACTTTAGAACAAATGAAATTTAAACTAAGAAAAAGAAATAAAATTTTTGAATAATTCAGTGGTTAAGAAGAAAAAACAAGTTTTAAAAAAATGAAACAAAATAAAGATTTTCTTGAAAAAAAAACGAAAAGAGATACGACTTTTGTTCATTGAATGAAATTATAGCTGTAGTCAAGTGTTGCAACTTTGCATAACATACCAACGGCACATCTCTTATTGTTTTTCCAGAAAAATCACTACTGATAGGCACTTGTGATATAGTTGGATTTTCTAATAAAATTATATATTACATAAATTTTATAAGTTGTAGCACTTTAAACTACAATTTCATTGAAAATTTATATCTCTTTTTGATTGAATAATTAGAATGAAAATGAAAAAAAAAATGAATTTTTGAATTGAAAGCTATATGTTCACGTTATATGTTCAGTGTATATTAATTACATCTTTTAGAAGTAAAAAGTTCGTGTAATTCTCATTTTTATTTGCAGCCGTAAAAAATAGCAGCAAAAACCAGTGTAAACATGTTTTCACTTAGTAAAAATAGAAAAATAGTGTCTACAATTCAGAAATCATTTCTCTCAAATGGTAAGCGAAAGTAACTTTTTAAAGACCACTTTTACGGACAATGGATTAATTTAAATTTATAGGAGGACGCCGATATTTATGGAATGAAATAGAACGTAATATTGAAGATAATAAAAATGTCAAAAGATATAATGAAATTGTCATACGAGGCTATGACACGCATTCAAAGAACCCCACAATCTTGACTCCAAGGAGTTCTCTCACTGTGCCCAAGATTCTGATCGTGGGTGGAGGCTACGCAGGTTTTTACGGCGCATGGGAGCTCGAAAAGCGCTTGCAAAAGGATGAAGCTGACGTGACTTTAGTCGATCCAGTGCCATATATGACATATCAGCCATTTCTTCCTGAAGTGGCAGCCGGCTCAATCGAGGTTTATATGTTTAATGTTCTTTTTAGTCAATAATACTATTTTACACAATATTAATATTTAGACAATTTTATTGTTTATTACCTATTGGTGTTTCTTGTGTTTGCTAATTAATTATTTTAGGCTCGCCATTCTGTTGTCGCGCATCGTCGTCATCTCAAACGGACAAATGTCATCACGGCCAAGGTCACGAATATCAATCATGCAAAGAAAGTTGCTACGATCACTCTGCCAGATTCTGATAATTCATATGAATTCGCATACGATCATGTAGTCATCACTGCTGGAGCTGTAACACGTACATTTCCGATTCCTGGTATAGCAGAGAACGCAATTGGTTTGAAGACAATCGAAGAGGCCGTGGCGATTCGTGATCGACTAATGTCAAACTTCGATAAAGCTGCAACTATGTCTCCTGGTCCCGAGCGTGACCGTTTATTGACTGTCATCGTCGTTGGTGGTGGTTTTGCTGGTATTGAGGTATTAAGCTATCGTTTGCAGTTATATATTCATTTAAATAATTCCGAATGAATTTTCTTGTCGATAGGTTTTTGCAGAGTTGCGCTCGATGGCTTCGTCAATCGTCGAAAAATATCCACAACTGAGATTTGACGATACACACTTTCATCTAATCGAGGCATCAGGCCGAATCATGCCCGAAGTTTCGCTACAAACTAGCGAGTGGGTGCTTGATGATCTCGAGAAGCGTGGCGCCAATGTACATCTATATACTCATTTAAAGAGTGCTGTTAATGGAAATGTCGAACTTTCAACTGGTGAAGTCATCGCAAGTGACCTAATCGTATGGACTGCTGGTGTCATGGCAAATCCAACCGTCGTACGTGGTGCTGATCTGCCTGTTGAAAAACGAGGTCGTATTCAAACACGAGCAGATCTACGCGTTGGCACATCAGAAAGGTTCATTGAAGGTGCTTGGGCGGCTGGTGACATTTCTGCTATTCCCGATTACTCTGGAGATGGAATCGATGGATACTGTGTACCAAATGCACAGCATGCTGTGCGACAAGGAAAGCTGCTCGCCAAAAATATCTGTGCAGTACTACGAGGGGAAGAGCCCATAAATTACTTTCATAAAAACGTTGGTGCTGTTGCTGGATTAGGTTTGTACAATGGTGTCTTCCAATCTGGTAATCTAACGCTCGTTGGTTTCATCGCATGGATAGTACATCGTGGCTACCACGGTCTCGCGATACCCACGATAGAACGCAAGTGGCGGGTTCTATGTGATTGGTGGAACAACTTTTGGCTTGGTCGCGATCTCGTAAACTTGAAGACAGTTCAAAGTCCACGATACATCTTTGAAGAATTCGCCGCCCGACCGAAGACTGTCGTGAAGTAACAGAATAAAATTAGAACTTTACAAGAAATTGCTTTTAGGATCAATGTTACATCACTAGAAGATGTAAGCTTTTGATCATTTTCACAAATTTATTGTATTAATGAAATATTTATTTTTAGCTCGACACCATTCAAAAACACATTTGAATGTGAATTGTATGGAATATAAAATATTTTGTAAGTTAAGTAATGGGATTGAAGCGTTTGAACTTATCACACGAAGTAGGTATGACAATTTAAGTAGCACACAATAGAAATTCCATTACATTAATTTCTTGTATTTTTTTTTAGAATTTTGATGATAAAGCGTTTCGTGTATGTGATGAAAATTCTTCGTTGTTACAATGAAAATGTGATGATTTTACAAATAAGATTAACAAGGACCGAAATAAAAGAACTTGCAATTATTTTGAATTGAGCATAGTAGTTGACACTACCCTCACTTGCTTTCTATATCACCTGTATATTTTTTTTGAGCTTCACGTTCCGAGCGACATCTCTATGTGCTTGGCATTGAACTCGCGATCCAAACGAGCACCAAAGGCAATTAAAACATTTTTTTTTTTGGTGCGAAAAAGTCAAAAATGTCAACTGATTTTGTGTGAAGAAAAACCATGTGATATGCAACGTCCTCGCAGTTAATTTCGATGACACAAACTGTGCAAAGTAATTTCAATTTACTTTCCATCACAAATTCACTAAATACAAATAATAAATCGGTTTTTGTTCAATTTACACGGTATATCTTTATCGAGCGTAAAATGACAGACGTCACAACAAATGATTCCGTATTCAAACTTCAAACAATTAACATTCTACACAAACTTTTTGTTCTAATTTTCATGAGCACATAGAGATGGCGCCATCATGCAGTTTTTGACATTATTTGCCATTGTAAGTGATGGTAGAGTTGACAACTCTTTTTTCATTGAATGAGTTTTTTCTTAAAATAAATAGTTTTTGTTTGATCAAGATCTAGTGACTCTGCTTAAAAATGGGATGAAATGTGGCAATTTGCTTACTGTGAAGTAGCTCTCACAAGGTGGATTAGCAATTCTTCTTATGTTTTTTTTTTTTTTCGAAAAAACATCCCGAGAACTATAATCCTAGGGGGAAATTGCGATATATATATTTGTAATTTATTGGTAAATATTCTTCATATGTAACATAAATCACATTTACGTCAAGAACAATTTTATGGAAAATGTTAACGCCGAACATTTGGCGGATAAGCAAAGCAACTGTGCCCGATAGGTAAGACACCAATATTGATTATCCTAATTACATTGCATTGACTTCGTTGTGCACAACATTTTACATGAAACAACAAGAGATGATGCTTTGGCTATTTTCGAAAAAAGCAACATGTTTTTTTTTGGCAAATAATAAAATGTCGATTGCAACAAAGAATACGACGCATTCATATGGTATGCAACGTTAGATGAGAAATTTGTCGCCAATGATGTGATGCCACAATTGGAGAATATCGGTCCAAAATCGTTAAAAATCGGCTTGTTGGAGCGAGAAATGCAAGGCGGTGACATCTTACCAGATCAGAAAAATCACGTCAAACTATTGTAATTTTATCACCTTACTCCATTGAATATTTTGATAAGCTGAAGCAACGCGAATCAAAGGGTCAACACTCGGGTAAATTTTTAACAGATCTTCAGTTATCTACTTGTGGTATCTATGTCTTTTTTTTAATTTACAGACAAGGGAGACATAGGGCGTATCAAAAAATTTCAATCGGAAATAAGTGCATATTTAACTGCCAACATCAATTGCATTAGGGTGAAGAACGCTTTTTCGATAAACTCCGTTTGGCAATTGCACATTCAAAATATTTCAAACAGTTAAACATGATTTGGTTTTGTTTAATTTTTATTTGGAAATCGTTTAAGTAACAAATGTTAGAATATTTTTTAGTCGTTTTATATCAGTAGAAGTTAAGACGTGATTTTGTTGACTGTTCATTGATTTTCAAATTTAAGTTTTTATATTTAAACAAAGCGAAACCAATTGAAACAAATGAAATAAAGAAAATTAAGATTTTACGTTGAACGTCATTTTTACAATTTCACATCCTGACTCACTAAGGCCCGCTTGGAGAACATCGCCAGCACGAATTTGAGATGCACCGTCTGGTGTTCCAGTCATAATAAGGTCGCATGGTTCCAAAGTCATGTATTTTGATAAGTATGAGATTAGTTCGAACGAATTGTAAATTAAATCTTTTGTATTGCCCGTTTGACGTCGAACACCATTTACATTCAAATACAAATCGAGATTATGTAAGTCTTTCACTTCATTCAATGCAATGAATCTGGACACTGGATTGGCGGTATCAAATCCTTTGCCCATGCTCCACGGAAATCCATTTTTTCGTGCTTCATTCTGTAAAAAAAAACATCAAATACAATATCGAACACATTTGTAGAACTAAATGAGTATCAAAATAATTCGGGAATTGTTTAACGCACCAATTCACAAAAGGCTGAGAGATCTAAACCCAAACAGTATCCTCCAATGTACTGGTGTGCTTCCTCTACGGATACGTCCTTACATTTTTTGCCAATGATAACGCCAAGCTCAACTTCATGTTTGACTAGAGTCAACACTTCGGGAATCTAAAATTTGGTCATAAACTATCAAATTCCATTGCAAACATTCAATAATGCTTTCATTCTTACAACAATATCTTGACCCTCAGTAATATATGAGCTGATTGGCTTTAGAAACATTACCGGAGCTTCAGGTTTTTTAACATTTGGATTGCTCAAAATGTCACTGTAATCGAAGCGATAAAATGTATTTTATTTCAAATTATTATAATTATTGGTTTTCTAGAAATGTTTATACAACTAATGAAATTAAATTACGTATAATTCAGAGCTGCACCGAGAATTTTCTTTCCATTTTTTGTAAAATCTTCCATTTTTAATAATGAATTTGGTTTAAAAAGAAAGAATCTACTGAACCGACCGAACATTTTTCAACGACATATATTTACAATCTCGTCAAAGTAAAGCAATTAGAACAATCAACCACAGTCATATAGATAAGAAAGATCAGCTGTTGACGACACTTACAGATAATAAATTAAAGATTGTACAATATTGCTTTGCTTTTGGCAGTTTGATAATCAACATGAATTTAAATAAATATTATGCCAATGAACAAAGCGTTATAGGAAAATGGTTAAAGCATTCGGTTTGAACTCGATTGAAGTAGAGTGAAATTCATAAACATGTTTTTCCGATTTCGTGTTTTGAAGAAAAGATCTAAATTTTTATAAAACGGATTTTTATTAAATTTACACAATTCAACAATTTCAAAACCAAACTAAATTATTTAAATTGTTATAACTCTTGAAAAACTCTTATTTGATGTAACAATTTTGAAAAAGTAAAAAAATCTTATTGATTTCCATTGATCTAACGTGTAAATGAATGTCAAAATTTAGAGTGCACCACACACCCGTTTGCACTCATTTTCAGTATCGAAAAAATCTTCGTCGCCAGAACAATCGCCTAATTTTTTTGATTCACAACGATTGGTATTTTTGTTGTAAAAAAACTTCTCCTCTTTCAGTTGACACAATCCATTTTGCTGGCGGGCATTACATCGGTCGTCAGTAGCTTTTTAATTTTGGTTAAAATAAAACATTTCCGTTATATTTGTAATGATATAGTTTAATGAATATTACCTGATACAGAGCAAACAGCTACCAAAACAGCAAAGATGAGGAAAATATAAAATTCTTTCATTTTGATTTGATTGTAACAGTGCCGAGATGAGCAAATAACTATTCAAAACGAAATGAGATACACTTCGTTTTATGCCATGTTTGCTCTTATCATAATTTTTAAATTCCTCTCACCTAGACTCTGTTCGAATAAAATGCATATGACCTGTAGGTCATTTTCACAATACTTATTATTAGTAAACAAGTAAAATCGACAGTATCAATATTGGCTATCAAGGGACGAGAGTAAATAGCACCTCACTTGAGTAATAATAGCCGGTCATACCTTCCTTTTGGTGTGATGGTTGGGAGTAATGTGTGTTTCATTTTAACGCTAGAATATTGTGTAATGGGAACTTTTTGGCATGAGAAAACCGAGAGACATTTCCTTTGCAAAATATTATAATATATGAATTTTATTCAATCCCTATCAGTGTACCCAGCAAACAATTGATAGGGCAAATGTATCCATTATGAAGCACATATTGACGGTCGTTTTCGGGGTTAGATTCGTGTGTAGTTTCAGTCATTTCCATAGGTTTGGCATGGTGGAACATTCAGGTGTGAAAACATGGAAAAAGGGAAAGACAACCATTAATATCAGTTGAACTGGGTATAAAATGATTTTTTTAAATTAAAAACTTTACTCACCTACGGGCACTCCCCCTCCGTACAATGTTGTACTATTGTACAACTAGACCACAAGACTTTATATAGTCTGTTCATGTCTAGCTAAGCTAACTATAATAATTAAAATATTTTATTTTATGTAATTTTTTGAATGTATGATTAATTGATGATGTTTGTTAGTTGACATTGTTGTTGTAGTCCGGCGGTCTTAACAATGAAACTGGCAATGGTACATCAAAGATCCGGCAAAGTCCTATGTAATTTAAAGCAAATACATTAAATAATGAATATTCTGTTTCCAATTGATTCATACCTTTGAGCATAATGCATTTTGCTGCAACAATATCTCGGTGCCAAGTAACTGTTTGTGGAACAACATCATCATCATCAACATTTAATGGCCAATTTTTGTAGGTAACTTTAACCTTTGAGATTAAACGCCCAGTCCGAATTTTTTCGTTCACAGCCTCACGATTGCCATCGATAATTTGTCGCTTAATAATTGCACGTTTTCTTCTCAAAACACGTCTGTTGACCGTTGACACAATGATATCTGGCAGTCCAGCGACTGAATCTGGCAGGCCATCAATCTTTTTCGCTCTACAATCGTAGCACACTTTAAATCGATCATCTTTTGTGTGCCTTGGAAAACGTTCCTGACAATTCGCGCATGTTTGTGATGTTCCCCATTCATCTTGCATTTCAACTTCTGAATGTCCAAGTTTCTTAATGCTCACACGAAACTTACGCGATCCCGGACATCTTTTACGCTTTTTTATTCCAAACGGTCGATCGGGTTTCATCGCCCAAGCACCAAATTGAACCAACGACGGTTTGTTGTTTGTCACACGCACGGCGATTTGATCATTTACTCTGGTCGAGCGAATGTGATGGTCTAAATCCAGTCGTGCATATTCACGCGTCGCATAAGCTGCCATTCCTTTTCGTAACATTTTAATGCGATATTCAATGTATGATTTCCATGTTGAATTACGTGGTGATGGTGGACGATATGGGTAGGTTTTGAGATGTTCCTTCTCTTCGATATCAAACCATCCAGCCAACTTTTTCGCTTCTTTGTCTCGTTTTTTCTGCTGAGTTTCCCAATGAAAACGCTGGTTTGGTATTATAATGTTTTCCTTCAAAATGCAAAATGATACAAAAAACTATGAGTTTCTATTCAAAACCATTTCAAATTACATTTCAAAATATCTTACCTCAACAGCCGGCTCATCAGGTGTTTTTTGAATGTTGCGACGCACTACAGTTAACCACGATTTTTCATTCGGATCGATTCCAATGATGTATTTCTTGCCAATGAGTTTTTCCGGCCCCCGATTCGCTTGGGTTGTTTGCTGTGGTCGTTGTTGTCGCTGTGGTTTCTTGTACATTATGGATATTGAAACACTATCGGTCAAAATCTGATGATGGAATGGTTTCGATTTGCCCAATTTATTTATTTTACCGACATCGAACAACATATTCCATAGACCTGATCGATCAGTTTGGGTGTAGTACTTTAAATTTCTCTTATTCATCCGGTTGGTCTACGTATTGAGAAAAGAAGGCACCAAATCAAGCTCGTTTACAATTTTATAATACAAGTCCTTAATGTCCAATCGCACGTTTTTCAAATGGTAGTCGCATAATGGTATAAGAGCAAAACTGCTTATTTTTGGTGGTCGATTGATTGTTGGCTCTTGAAAGTTCGGATTGTTACGAAACATTTCATGAATGGTATACCATTGTTCGGCATGACTGTGATACACTTCTATTTGCCGTTGCATTTGACCGAACAACCACAGTGATTCAAACCAACGATATTTTGCGAAAAATTTCATACTCACTGTTCCCGACCATCCAATTTCAGTCAAATCTCTCATTAAAATATTGAATTTTTCAACGCGTTGTGGATCCACATTATTACCATTATTACCATTTGTTAAATTCTTAAATCGATATGAAAACTCTTTGGCATTTCTGATGTCGATGTTATCAAATCTTGAGCCATTGTTGAATCGATTGCGATACCAACAACGCATTCGAAAAAAATTCTCAAGTCGTTTTTCACACCATGTGTTGGTATTGATTTGAATGTTTGTGATATATTGTTTATAAAAATATCTTAAACCATTTCCCAACTTTTCATCATCTGGCCATCGGAACTGTTCTTCACTGTTTCTTTCTACCATGAAACGAAACTCGGGCAATATCCGATATCGACTATTAATATTGTTAACGTGTTGGTTTAATACCGCTCTGAAACAATCGGCAATGAACAGGCTTGGATGTGGTTTCAAAAAAAATGCACGATCGTCATTATCAAGTGCTTCATTCAAAATAAAAAGAATAGAAAGTGATGCCAATGCTGCCACTTCTGTCATTTGAACACTGCGCTCGAATAGCATTTTGGTCACAACTTCTCCAACTCTTTCAATCCGTTCATGTTGTTGTCGCAGGATTGTTTGAAGTCCACATTTTATTACAACGTATTTGCTTTCTTCTGGTTGATTATCATCGAGCTCGTCGTCATCCATGTCTTTTTCTGTTCATTCTCAAAAAACTGATCAAATTATTCGAAAATAAAAAATAGACACAAATTTAGAAAAAAAATGCAACAAAAAAAGCATAGATTACGAATAAAATGAGATCACAATTTAAATGACAATCACTTATATCACAATTCAAATTAATCACTTCTTACCTCAACGATGTCACTCTGTATTCTGATTCAAATGATGAAATGTTTTCCAATATTCCGCAGATGAAAATTTTGTTGGAATATTCACCGTCAATTTTATGAATGCTTTCTTATTTTGAAATAACAACAGAGACAATCTCAAAACCAACAGTGAATTTATCCGTTTAACATCGAACAAACAAAATCATTGGAACAAATGTTAGCCAAAAATGACGACAAACAAATTGTTTCATACTCTAATATAAACACTCACACATAATTCTCAAGAATTCATTTTACAAGCAAAGCACAATTTGTAACAAACAAAAAATGAGAACACACTCATATCACAATTCAAATGAATAACTTCTTATACTATATAACGCTGTGTCCTGATTAAAACGATGAAAATGTTTTTTTTTATTTTGAAATGAAAACAAAGACTGTCACAAAACGGACTGTGAATCTTTCCATTTGACATCGAGTGACTTCTACAGTTACGTTCCAAACACACTAAACCGTTGCTAAAATGACGATAAACAAAAAATGAATCTCATGTACAAGAATTCCATTTATTAATCACTGAATTTTGTTTTTTTTTTTTCAACACAATGGCAACTTAACCATAATTACTTACCTTATTCTTAACAATAACTTCAAAATATTTTGATGCGAAAAAATCCCTATTTAGTTCGGTGCCGGAATTATAATTTCATACATTGTTCAAAGAAATTAATTGATACGATGCAATGTTTACGAAGCACATTTTGAATGTAATCAGAAAAATCGGCTTCGATATGATACACACCAATACACACAGCTACCAACTGTCAAATGTCGTACACATTCAAACATGTTTCGAATTCGAAATTCGAATTTGAATTATGAAATAAAAAAAATAAAAAAATGTTTCTGAAACTAAAATCAAATCAAACAAATCTAAAAAAAAGGTACATTTATAAATGTATTTCACAGTCACTTGAAATTCCTACGCAATGTTTTTTTTTATTCATGCACAATCGAAACACACACAGAGAGAAGAGAGTAAGATTTGTATTTTCATCCTCTTTTTTTTTCCGGTTTGTTTTTCAAATTTTATTTGCTTAAAATCAATCGTATGAATACGATATTATGAACTCAACGAGTTTATGTTATTTACATTTGTTTACATTGTATTGCCGCTACAGTTTCTTAGAATATAATAACAAAAAGAAAAACAATCGAAACACACAGAAGATGTTGTTGTGTATCGCAACACGAAAAAGCCGAAAAAGTGGTTCACATTATGCCTATATTCTACCTTCCATTTGACACGAAAATTGCCACAAAAATGGGTTAAAGCGTTACATTTTTTAACGTTAAAATGTCCTAAAAACGTTACATATTTGTCCGTTGGGTAACATTGACCTTGAAAAGTATTTTTCTATGCATATAAATAGAGTTTTAAAATGTAATTCTAGAAGTTTCATTGCGAATTTTCATGTATTTATATTCATGATTTATTGTTGAGAAAAAAAAATTGAATCGGCTCAGAATTAAAATTGAAACAAAAAAAAGTACGAGACATATTTTTCGATGTTGTATTTATTTGTTGTTTGTACTGGGAATAACGTATAAAAAGAGACAATATTAAGCCACCTGCAAAATATAATAATTGATGACAACTGAAATATCAATGTTTTCTGTAATATTTAAATTAATGTCCTACGAATATTGGTTCATTTTCTATTTGTATTAAACATATTCAATAAATACAAAACGAATGCGCAGATGTTTGTGTAAATATTCGCAGTATGTAAATGACACGAGATGAACCTTGTCCATTTAAGACCGTCTTTAGTCACCGTCAGATGGGTTTTTGGTGTTGAATTTGAGGCTGCATTAAGCATTTTTCGTCATTTTTTAAATTGTTAAAGAAAATAGAACTAATTTAACTTAATTTTTTTTTAATATGTTGATATTACTTGTGCTCCTTTGTTTAACCCAAGGTTTAACGATAATGTTTCCATGTTATGTGGTCTCATTGCCTCAATATACTTATTTTTCGGGTGGATTTGACGGGCCGGTAACTCAGTGGAATCCCAACAGTAGATACATCGAGTCACCTGTTGCCATCGAACCACCTAGTATTGATTTTCCCATGGCATTTGGATTGCAGCCTGGTGATGAGACACCAATTAAACTCTCAAATGAAGATTCAGATAAAATATCTCCATCGGATGGAGACACTACACCTCAGGACAACAAAAATACAATTTCTTCAATACTTACTTTTATTCAAGCAGCACTAAGTGATATCCACGAAGTGTGTCAAAGAGTAATGAACTTAGAAAAAAATTTCCAGAATTTACAAGACTTTTTCAATGATTCAGCTAAAGAAAATTAATAATTTTGTATTCAAATATTTTTCAACATTTATTTTAAGAACATAAATCAAATTTGAAATTTCATTCAATAGCATATCTTATTTGAGAATTTCTAATTGCCAGTCAATGAGTGTTAATATTGGTTTTGCTCTTTGATGCGGTTCTGTAAAAATAAAATTTAAAGAAAATGTTCCAATAAATAATCGAATTACAAAAATAAATTAAATTGAAGAAAATCTGCTTACTTATCATGGCATAGTGTTGTTCCTTTTGAACTCGAACATAATCCATATATTCTTCGACTTTTATTTCACCAGATACCATCATTTCAGGTAACCAAATCACATCCAATGATCGTTTAATATCTTCCAACAGCTCATTGAATATTTTCTGGACTTCGATGCCAATACCATCCAACTGACAATCGACCAAAGACTTAAGGAGTTCATGAATGTGTTGTTGTTGTGCGAATATGTTGAGAACCATTGTATAAATAACATCGATCAAGGCAATATCTTCAAAAGGATTGCCTTCTTTCAAACTCAGTAGTTTTCGTTCATGCTTTCGTTTGCTTCTGCTCGATCTAAACGATTTTGCTGTGCCTCTTGAACCACCCGTAAATCGCGATGAGTTCATACTTGTTGTGTCTGAAAACATATCGCAGTCATCATCGTCTACATCGCCATTCAACAATTTTTCAGCTTTTTCCTTGCGAATTGTTTGCAATCGAGCAACAAATTTGCTGAATTGCAATTGATCGCCATGGATTTTTTCAATTGTTTTACGTGCAAAGTCAAATAAATGATTTCGAATGAATTCATCCTGTGATTCGGGTAAGCCACTTGATTCCAAGATTGCTTTTTGATAAAATTTTCCATCGCAAAGAACTTGTATGTATTCGATACTATTTGGATTAAAGAAACGCACCAATTCAGCTGCATCAGCAAATCTATTGTTCTCCTTGAGAGCTGGCAATAGTGACCTAAAAGCAAACATATAATTTATCATAAAACCAAGCTGTAGTTTTGCATCATAATTACCTGCACAGATTTTCCGTTTCTTCCTTCGAATACGAAGATTTTCTGGCCAACCGTAAGCATTTCTTCCAATCCAATGTGTGTTTGGCTGATAAAACGGCTTGTTTAAAATCTGCCGTCGAATCTCCTCCTCGTTCGTACATCAAAGTGGCTTCGTAGAATGCGCCTTTCGATCGCAAAAAGTCGGCATATTGAATCACAATATCATTGTAACATTCGTCAGATGGTTTAAATAGTCGTAGTGCTTGTGTGTAGAGATTATGTTTTTCAATCAACTCCAGACATTCTTCTAGCTTTTCAACGCCACATTTCACGATATGTTCCAATGCTTTACTGTATCTCTTTAGATGATTGTCAATTCGATATTTGCGATAATTTTCCTCCAATTGTTTCAGTTCATTCAAAAATGGTAAATATTCTTTTGGATCTTTTTGTGATTTTTGCGCAACAAATAGTACCAAATCAAAATCATACATTCCCAATGCTACATCATACAAATCATTCACATTGACCAAATACAGTAAGTATTTCAATGCTTCTTGTGCAGTAACTGTTGTCTTTCGACCATCAACTGGATTGAGTTCAATTTGTCGCACGGCCCATAGAATTTCCAAAGCTTTTTCGAGATTCTTTCGCTTAACGTGTGCTGTTATCATTGGAAGTAAATATTTTACCGTCGAATCCTGTTCAAACACATTACAGAACTGTTCACAAATGACATCCACTTTATATGCATATACTGTTGCAAATGTTCGATTCTTGAGATGTCGATAGTTACTGGCATACATTGTGACAGTGACGTCTTCGTTCAAAAGATCCGACAAAAATAGATTGAGCCATTGAATATTATCAATGTCTGCAATAAATTCGGGTATGTGAGACAAAAATTTAATGGGATTGTGATCAGCCAAAAGATTTAAGTTGATACGTTGTTTACGCAACAAATCAAAGGCTTTGCGATAGGAATGTGCATCAAGGAGTTCAGCAATAATAACTAATGAAAGTACTCGAGGTTGTATTGTTTCCAAATTTCCACGAGGCATTTGCAAGACGGTACGTGAATCATGTGGTACCGATGTCACCAATCGACCACCTCGTTCAATACGACGTTCGTTGATCACATCCTTCCCATCCAATCGAATGAATTTCAATTGATCAAGCGTGGTAAAGAGCAGGAACTGTTCGGTTAACAAAAATGACGTAACATCTGAAGCAACTTTCTCTCCATCTACATAAAGATTTTGCTGCGTTTTCAATGCAATCACTTTTATTTCACCATGTATCGTGCTACAGTCGATTCTTTCACAGAAACTGCTCACATCAAACAGGAATTGTGGTTCCTGAAGTTTTGATTCCAAAATTTCGATGGATTCAAATTTACCACAAGTTAATTGGTAAATGATTTTTGAACTTTTGTTACATACAACTATGTTTCCAATGATACCATCGATTGACTGTGTGCTTACGATGTTGACTTGTCCTTCACGCAACTCAGAAAGTGACAAAACTGTTGCGTTATCTTTGGTATAACAAAATATGACATGTAATTCATTCAACCAAGTCCAATGCTGATTGAATAATGGAATATGGTCGCCCTGTGCGATTTTATAGCTTTGAATAAGTTTGCTGCCCTCAAGTAAATTAAGATTACGCTCGGGATTACGCTCAAATGTACATTCAAATGTTGAAAATGTATTCGTAGTGTCAACGATAAAGAATCGATTTGAATCGGTTGACTGACGTATGAATCCGGCATAATTTATAGGTGATGAATGAACCAAAGTAGATCCACACATTGGTGGAGGAATCACAGCACCACGGAAGTTTGTTAACAAGAGATTATTACGATCGATAACAGCAACAAGAGCTTGATCATCATCTGTGAAGCCAGTTGAGCGTACAATTGAATGATCCCAACTACCAAAGTAAATTAAAACATATTATTAAATGCATATGAGTAATGAAATTCTGTTTCAAACAAAAACTCACCGATAAACTGAATACTGTAGACTTTGTTCGATCACATGTAATGATTTTCCTTCCAAATAATTGTTATCCCATTGAATCGCTTTGCATTTACCATTAAAATGCAATGTTTGTTTTTGGTACCAATGATAGTTGCAAATGGTGTACAAATAAATCGTCGAACCGGTTGCATGTTCTGTGTAAATGGCCAAAATGTCTGAATCGCCACTCCAGAGTAATTTTTCGACCACCTCTTCTTCTTTTTTAAACGGCAGCACAATCTCTCGATGTCTCAATCCATTTTTCTCAAACAATGCAATTGTGTATTTATTTGGAAGAACATGCGGTATCGCAATCCAATTACCAGTTGGTCTCCAATCGATGACTGCATCAAGACCGGCCAATTTTTCCGAGGTATATTTCAATTTACCTTCTTTGTCAAATACCTTGAACATTCGTTCCGTTTTACCGACAAAACTAATGGCAAAATATTCATCGTCACCACGCCACACAATCGAAATACGTTGATCGAGTACGCGAACATCTTCGACAGCAATTTCAGCTGGTTTTTTATGTGCAGCTTGTTTACCTTCAGTGCCATGAAATTGTGTTTCTTTCTTACCCCATCCAACATTGATAAAAGCCTCATCGCCGAAATTCTCATCCAATAGATTCACCTCAGCAATTGGATCATATGCACTGTTCATGACAACAAGTGAATTGGCTTGTGTTACAAATACAACCACCTCTTGATCATTCGACCATGACATCGCCTTCAAGCCACCTTCACAAAATGTTACCGACTCATCACTTGACTGATGCAAATTATAAACAATAACTTCACCAGCCGCTGTTGCCACACACAATTCATTGTTTAGCGATAGATGTTCGAAACCAACAATTTCATTTTGAAGCGGTGTTATTACGTTTATTTGTTTTTTCGACCAATCAAAACTTAACAATTCATCGTTTGATGCAATAAATGTTGTGCCAGCATTTTCTGTATTCAAATTCATGTAATTCACATTGTTCACGTCTAATTGAGCCGTTCGGCTGTAAAGTAGCTCAAGATTTTTCATTTTCTTGTATAAAAATTGTGCTTACGGTAAAATAAAATAACAAATACGCATTACACGTGCTTGAATACAACTGCACACTAAATGACAGCTAAGTGTTAGCTCAAATGTGTCAAATTGGTTATTTTGACAGTTCGGTCTTCTAGTGGAGAGGGATTTGAGATTGACGCAATTCATGAACAAAGAAATACTTGAAAGACAATGTAACCTTATTTTGTTTCTCTTTTTATTTTTATACGATTGTAAATATTTTAAATCGGATTTTGTTAATATTATTTGTTATCTAACTAATGATTATCTGATAGACAACAATTTTTATGACTGAAATGGTTTTAAAAATATTTTGAATTCTCAATGGATATTCAATTATTCATACAAAGTTAGAGATATAAATATGACAAATGATAAAATGGATTTTGGCTAAAACCAGTCAAAATGAAAGATATTGCGTTTTATAAAAATCTTCACAGCATTATCTTTGAAATGAAAGAATGATTGAGTATCACGTTTGCGAGCGTTTGATTTGGGAGTTATTGTTTTCCATTTGAATTCCCTTAGCTTACGGTTGGCGCAATTTCAGTAACGTCGAGATCCTTGGTTCAAGATCCTATTTAAAGATTCAAATTTATATAAAATTTTTGAATATAAAAGATAATATAATAAGAATAATTCCATGCCAAGCTTTCGAACTTACTCCAACATAACGTGGGTGTGTTTTTTTCGTTCTTTCGGCTTATATTTTGACCAAAATAAAATTGCATTGATCAAATCACTTTTTTTCATTTCGTCATAAATCAGCATGGGCAACAAATCAAACAATTCACACGATGTCATTTCAATAAATTCGTCCGAGGTAAACACTTTTTCAAAATTCACATCGATGAATGCAGCCGACAACTGAATGAGATAATCCATTTTATGTTTTTTGGCAAACAGTATCATGTCGATGCAATTGTTAACAGTTAATTTTCCGCCCAAATATTTGCTGCAATTCTTGATGAGGTTATCATATCGTCGCTGTAAACTACGTAAATTGCATTGTCGGCCATAACGAATAGAGCTCAATTTTGTAGTACTGCTTTTCATTGTTTTACATTAAGTTTTCGTTCTGTTATTAGAGCAAAGTATAGCTTTAACACGTGTCGTGCAATTTATATTCTACATTTTTTCATTTACCTGATTATAATGTAATCCACACCTTTGAAAAAGGTTCGTATTTGCTTAGATATTAAAATTACATCCGATTAGACAAACTTTCACGAAATTTCTATAAGGTAAGTAGAGCGAAAGCAAATGCTGTGTTTGTGCAATAAACACGTATGTTTCGATTGTGCGACTTTTGACATTTGTTATTATGAAAAACAATGCAAAAAATGTATGGTTACAATGCGTTATTCGCGTAATTTAACAATAAGCGGTTAATATGAAATTCAGTATTGATATTCAGAAAGAATGGCGTATTTTCATTGTGTTTAATTTCTGGATTTTGTACAAAAACAAACAGATTTTTATTTATTATTTTTTTTTTTTGTTTATTTATTCTAATTTTGTTTGGACTTAAGCTACTGTGAAAATAAATTTTCTCTTAATAACTAATAAGTGTTCGTAAACTTTACGAATATACTTTTTTTTTAATAAACTACCGAGGTATTTTTCATAAATGCCTGAATTTTATGAAATAAAATCCAAAAAAAAAATGTTTAATTTTGTTTGCGTTAATAAAAAAAATCAATTTTAAATGACATTGAAAGCACTCGTTCTTCTAAAATTGTACAAAATATAAAAATACAAATGTAGAAACGTCCAAGGCTTGCCGATATAAAACAATTGAAAAGAAGGAAATCAATTTGAATGCAAATGAAATTTATTCATCGGTTTTTTCCTTATTTTTATCTTTCTTTTTCTTCTTCTTTTTCTCTTTCTTCGAAGCTTCATCATCTTCAGCCGCTGGTTCGGCGGCAGGTGTTTCAGCTACTTCTTCGCCAGCCTCAAGGTCCTTCTTTCGCTTCTTCTTCTTTTTCTTTTCAACTTTATCGGATTCGCTGACAGCCGTTGTGTCCAGTGTCGTTTCTGGGTCCGAATTTGTACCAATGCTTAATTTACGCTGAAAGTAATAAAATGAAAAAAAGTGATAAGTCTTTTTATTTCTGGATTTGAACTGTGATAAAATAAGTTATTTGGAAAATTGTAAAATCAGTAAGACCAATCGATATATTAATCATAACAACTCATTTAAATAACACTATAGGTGTGTTCATCATGAAATCAAGCATTTTTTCCACTCAAAATACAATTTAAATTTGACTTACTTTGTCGGCTTTTTTTATTTCTGTACTGTCAACGGGTTCTGTTTTTACAGCACCATTGCTGAGTGCACTATAATCAACATAGCCAGTAAGCCATTCGGCTGGTGTATTTTCATTTGGACGTCCATATTTATCCAATTTACCGGCAGCAACAAGTGATTTCTTTTGTGATGCTTTCGGACCAAGACCCCATTTACGTGGATACAAATCACGATCCATGATAACACGCTTGATCTTTGCGCACACACCATGATCACAACTTGACATTGTGGCTGTGGTCATTTGAGCGATTGCTGTGCGAAGGAGAAACATAAGTATGAAAACGTTAAAAATGATTGAATATTTTCTAATTATAGTTTATGATGACTATTTTTTTTTGTTCATTGGACATATAGTAAAATAATACTGTTTTGAAAAGAAAAACCTTACCCAATGCAATAGCTTCTCCTTTTGTAGAAATAATGACAATTTCTTCATCGATTTCAATGCCATCCTCATACCGGAGCACACCAGGCAACATAATTTTGGCACCATAACATACAGCATTGACTGAGCTGTCTTTCATGACAATACGCTTGTGACGAACGAGCAAACCTTCGAGTGGCATTACAACTCTTCTTAATAGACTTTCATCTTTATGATTTTCATATAGATACATGGCATCCAATACATCATGCATAGTTGTTAGGCCATCCTTCTCTGAAACGATACCAGAACGCACTCGGCGAAGTTCCAACATTTGACCACCAACACCTGAGAAAAGAAAAAGGGAGCAGAATAATATTTTAGTAAATGGAATTTTTTTTTTATTGTGGTAGAAAATAGAAATTCGTTCGAAAACTCACCCAAAATCAGTCCAAGATGTACGCACATTGTTCGAATGTATGATCCAGCCTCGCAGCTAACCCAGAAAACGCCCATATTTCTTTCGGTGTCATAATCCAAAAGTTTGCTATCATAGACGCTACGAACACGAAGCTGTCTCTTCACGGCCGATATTAGTGGTGGACGTTGAAAGAGAGCACCACGCAATTTTTCCAAACCTTGCTTAACCTTGGCGACAGACTCAACAGCTGAATGCAGTTTAAATACAGCAACGTACTCTTTTCCAGCGCTTTGTTGTGATTTCGCCAAACGATTGTTCTGTTGTCGAATGCTTTGCTTGGTATTTTCCGCAACAGAGCAAAGCATTCGACAATTATGCCAATGAAATAGCTTCGACTAAGATCCGTATCGAGTAATTCGGAATTATCAATGACTTCGGTTATAGTAGCCTGAGCTGATTCAGCTGGCTGAAAATATCTTGGATAGGTAGTCAATTTCCGGTCGATGTCAATTTTCGAAAAATCGTATATACTACTAAAATGTACTAATTATGTACAATTATGTACAACAATTTTTATGATTATGTACCAACAAAATTTTTTCAGAATTTGGATTTTTAAAAATTGAAAATATCAAAACCCGGAAA